CTCTGGTGTTACATGCCTGCTATACAAACCTTGGTGTTATATGCCTGCTATAACAACTCTGGTGTTACATGCCTGCTATAGACACCTTCGTGTTACAAACTTGCAATAGCATTGCTATACCAACATCCCTGATGTTGCATGCCAGCTTTGGTATATTTATTTGTGAGAGCAGATAATCTTAAAGTCCCACAATACCCTTCACTTAACCCGAGGACTATAACGAGTAATTTTGCATATGCGCAATGAATCAATCGGACGTTTAGATACAAGTTTCTTTATCAACCCAAAATTCCGACAGATCAAAATCCCGAAATGGATAAAATCCAACAAATAAAACAAATATGAACAAGTTTTACCATTTCAGTCGATCATCTTACTGTGTTTGGGGTAGTATGCACTTAGAAATATTATATTTACATATACAAAATATAAAATTATTCATTTTCTCTCTAATTTGTCGGGATTTTGAGTTATGGGGTGTCGGAATTATGACACTCCACTTATAAAGGGGGTATTGGGTCTCCGAAACGTTGTGTCAACAATAAATATATTGGGGTGATAACACTATTATATTGTTATAACGATGTCTGAAAGAAAGCTTCTGTACCCACCGTGGTAGTAAGCAGGGTCAGTTTTGACCATATATGTTTACCGCCAAGAATAACTGAGGGGAACGGACGGTGTATTAATAGTAGAATTGGAATGATAATAGTATTATATTGTTATGACGAGATATATGGCCGAAAGAAAGCTTCGGCATCACCGTGGTAGCAAGCAGGATCAGTTCTACCACATATGTACATCCCAACTGACCAATCAGAAAGAAGAAGACCAGCTGACAGCCAGCAGTGAAGTTGTTGGATGATGTATGTTACTCCATAATACACTAATATGTAAATAAAGATCAGTCGAACACAGATCCTTACCTCTCCCTCCTGCTTATTTGGCCATCCTTGACATAGCGGTAGCGGTGTAACATCATGTCACGTAGAAAAATTAGGAAAGACAACCTTTAAGATGACATGAAAATTTACTTAAGGCAAAAACAGATCAAAATGTATAAAATACAAGATAATCAATGAAGAAAGTTAACAGAGTAGCAATATATATATCAAAATTGATAATCTGTTAATAAAATAATAAATAATTTTATGCAATATTTGACCTATAATTTGTCTATTTTTGTAGTAGAGTTTCGTTAATAGAGTTTTTTTTCACACAGAATATTTTGATAAGTCGAAAGAAACAAATTAAGATTGCCTTTTATTAACCTATTTTTGGTATTTGTAAACCGCAAGGATAAGATGAAGAAACGAATGGAAAAAGAATTGAAAAAATTAAAATGAATGTTGATGATGACAAACTGCCATCTATCAGAGAATAATACAATGTCTGGAGGAGAACTCTCTCAAGGTGGGGAAACCTTCTTTGCTGAAGAAATTTATACACAACTATATATGAAAAGAGGCATCTCCTTATCGTGCAACTGAAAGTTGCTGATGGCTTGCGCCATCTATCGGAATAAATATCAACTATTCTCGTTGATTTTTAATTATTCCAGAATTGACCAAATCAAGAAAAGCTAACCACGGACGGGTTTCGGGCTGTTGACCCTCATCAGCATGTTGCAAGCTGTACCTCAACGACCAAAAAACTGGTCATTCAAGGCATCCTGAAAAATCATTAAACGGGTAGTTAAGGCCAGAATTCTGGAATTCTGGAATAATTAAAAATCAACGAGAATAGTTGATATTTATTCTGATAGATGGTGCAAGCCATCAGTAACTTTCAGTTGCACGATAAGGAGATGCCTCTTTTAATAATTATGCACCTTATCCCAGTATAAAATCACATTTGTAGTATTTTTTCACAACTATATATATTCCCCTACATTTTATCTACCCTTTATTTACTATCTTATTATATATGTTTCCACCTTTGTTAACAATAGATTAAAATAATCAATAAAATTGTCTACCAAATAATAATACCAACTCACTGTTGATCTTTTTTTTTATTATTTAAGTAGAAATTAGAAATATTAAGTTGCATAATCTGAAGGTTTCATTTTATAATAACTTGATCTTCTTTTTTAAATTTTATGCTCAATTTTTTAAAGAGTATTTTTCAATCACTTTTATAGAATTGAAAACAGATGTAAGGTAAAAAAACACCTTTTGATGGATCTTCATCGTACAGCCTGCACTACGCTGATGATGGACAGTAAATCCGAAAGACTTGATTGTCTTTTTATTGATAATTCAACAACCAAGGTATATTGGACAATTTTATTGGAAAAAATAAACACACTGAAAATTACAAACATATTTTTTAACATTACTTTTCTTCTAAAATATATTAAATTAAAATTAATTTCTTTTACAGCCCTTTTATCCTTTTTATCTATTATAAATTTGTATTCATTGTAAAAGATAAGGTCTGTATAAATCAATTTTAATTACAGTAGACTCTCCTATAACGCGAGTTTTTACAACGCGATTTCGTACAACGCGATAAAAAAAATTATTTATACAACGCGAATTTTCGTATAACGCGTTATAAAATAAAATGCGGAAACTGTACAATACATTTGCATATAAAATAATATAACATTTAGTTTTGTTTTAATATATAATTATTTTTCCTATATACATCATTTTATACAATACATTTTTACATGATATTTGTCACTAACAATTTACCCTAACAACATTCGCGTTATACAAGTTTTATTTCGTACAACGCGAATTCCTATAACGCGATTTCATACAACACGGAACACATTAATCGCGTTATAGGAGAGTTTACTGTAAATATATTTTATAAGAAATGAAACCTATTTTATAGACGCGTATGATTCTTTTTAAAATGAAACAATTTTCTACTCCCCTTACTGCAATGGAAAATTAATACGAGGTCCTGGCTCATCAGTGATGAACCGTCCCAGCGGTTTCGCCAGTTTAATATAGGTTCACCACTGATGAGCCAGGCCCTCCCATTAATTTATCATTGCAGTAAGGGCAGTATAAAATTGCCTAATTTAAAAAAGAATAATCTTATAACAGATAGCGCGCTAATGCATCATATTAAATATAATTTCAGAAGAAAAGTAGAGAGGTAAAATTGTTTATAATTTTCACCGATAGATGGCGTTAGGTTAATAATGATATTAAAAAAAATAAACAGTCTGTTGGTATTTTTTAACCGATAGATGGCAGTGAGTTATCAGTAATATTCAGTTATTTCAGAAGAAAAGTAGAGAGGTAAAATTGTTTACAATTTTCACCGATAGAGGGCGCTAGGTTAATGATTTTATTAAAAAGAAATAATAATAAAACAGTCGGTTGGTATTTTTTAACCGATAGATGGCAGTGAGTTATCAGTAATATTCAGTTATTTCAGAAGAAAAGTAGAGCGATTAAATTGTTTACAATTTTCACCGATAGAGGGCGCTAGGTTAATGATTTTATATAAAAAAAAAATAATAAAACAGTCGGTTGGTATTTTTTAACCGATAGATGGCAGTGAGTTATCAGTAATATTCAGTTATATAATATATTAGGAGTTAGTCTTTTGGTTATATAACACACAGCTATATAGGCTTACAACACAAGAGTGAATCAGCACAGTTATTGATTAGAAGGTATAAGTGATCAGCTGTCAATACCTCCTTCCCAATATTGATTGGTTATTGAGGAGAAACTTCCTACAGCCAGTACTGGAGACGTTCACTTACTGAGTGAACCTCTAGTGACGCCAGAACATCGAGGAGAATTCAACATGAAATGTCCTCAAAGCTTATGTCCATAGTTTATCTAAAATACCCATTTCAAGAGTGTAGTATCAGTATCACTATAAAAGGAAGAGGATCATCCACCACGCAAGTATATTTTCAAAATTTTGATTTTCAAACAGAAATAAAGTATAAAGCTATACAAACAGTTTAACCGCATAAGTTTCTTTTTTTATTTATGAAAAATCATTATACGCCGCAGTCATTTAAAAGAAATAAAGTATTTCTATGAAAAATAGACACACTTCGGCCAGTTAGAGTCTCCTGACGAAGACAAAAGATTTTTGTCGAAACGTTGAGAAAATAAAAAACTCTAACTGGCCGAAGTGTCTATTTTTCATATAAATATTAATGCCGGCCAGTCAACCTCTATCTTCAGGATATGAGCATATATGTAATATATTTTTCTCTCAGTATATAATAGGTATTTAAAATATGTATATAATAATAAAAATAAAGAAGGCATCTCCTGACCACGAGCACATGTGCTTTTTAGATGGCAGAGCGCCATCTAGTGGAGCAAAAATAAACTAAACGTTTAATCAGCTTGCTCCGTGATATTTGGCCAACCCAATTTCTTGATAAATCAAGAAAAGCCATCCACGAACGCGTTTCGCGCTGTTGGCGCTCGTCAGCGTGGAGTAGGCTGTAACCACTGCGACCAAAAATATTTTTTGGTCCCAATGGCTTCCCGAGAAATCAAGAAATGGGTATTTAAGGCCAAATTTGCGTAAAGACGCTTAACACATGAAAAAACAATAGAAAAAAAAAGTGGGTCAGGTGTTGATATTAAAAATAAAGAAGGCATCTCCTGACCACGAGAACATGTGCTTTTTAGATGGCAGAGCGCCATCTAGTGGAGCAAGAAGTATATAATAATGTGTATATAAAAATTGTATTTATTATTAAGTTGTTAATGTGATACTCCTGTTGAAGGACTGACAAGTCTGAAGGCTTGAAAATAAAAATTTGCACTAGAAACTTAACCCTGGAAGCTTCATTTATTTTATAATAACAGCGGTATGGTAGATAGATTAAACTGGCGAAACCGCTGAGAGGGTTCACCACTGATGAGCCAGGCCCTCCCATTAATTTTTCCATTGCAGTAAGGACAGTAGAAATTGTTTATTTTTTAAAAAGAATCATACGCGTCTATAATAGTTTCGAATTTTGATAAAACTCTGTTATAAGTTTATATTGAAGTTGGTTAGTGGCCGAGTGGAATAAACTGTTGGTTTTCGACTGATGTGACCCGGGTTCGAATCCCGGCTTGAGAAACCTTTTTTTTTACTTCAATATCGAGTATTTTTCAAGGGACCGGGAAAAAATGTTCACTTTATCGAGAGATTCGTTAGACAAACCTTTACTCGGGTAAAACACGGGCGAAGCCGGGTACATCCGCTATTTTTCAAGGGACCGGGAAAAAATGTTCACTTTATCGAGAGATTCGTTAGACAAACCTTTACTCGGGTAAAATACGGGCGAAGCCGGGTACATCCGCTAGTATATATATATATTTTAAATAAAAAATAGTTTTTTTTTCAATAGTTCTCGGTTTTTGCACAATTCCAACTTCAATAGTGAGTTAGAGTAACCAAACGTGGCTCTAGCATACTTTGTAAATGTCGAACTGATTTTTACATGTGTAGACACATGGTTTACGGTAAGATTTGTAATAATCATCTATGCTCCAACGTGTTTCTAATGATAAAATATCAAATTTTTATACTTACAGACCTTACTGCAATGATGAAAATTTAAAATTATTTAAAATATAAGAATAAAAAAGGTATAAAATTGTAAAAAATATCTTTAGAGCTAATTGAAAATATATACACTAATTGGTAAAACTTAAGGAGGAGAACGTCTTTGATGTCGCTGGTCGTCTGCCTTTTTTTTTTTGGAGGAGACAGAGTCAATTTTGTTCACCCATGGTTATCTCGTGTGTCTTCCATAAAGGTCACTGTAATATCTTTCAGAGTTATTGTCTGAATCCCAATATACATGGTAAAAGGTAAAACTTCCTTAAGTTTTGTCCATGAGTGTATATTGGTTATCTCGTGTGTCTTCAATAAAGGTCACTGTAATATCTTTCAGAGTTATTGTCTGAATCCCAATATACATGGTAAAAGGTAAAACTTCCTTAAGCTTTGTCCATGAGTGTATATTGGTTATCTCGTGTGTCTTCAATAAAGGTCACTGTAATATCTTTTAGAGTTATTGTCTGAATCCCAATATACATGGTAAAAGGTAAAACTTCCTTAAGCTTTGTCCATGAGTGTATATTGGTTATCTCGTGTGTCTTCAATAAAGGTCACTGTAATATCTTTCAGAGTTATTGTCTGAATCCCGATATACATGGTAAAAGGTACAACTTCCTTAAGTTTTGTCCATGAGTGTATTTTATAAAGATATCTAAATTATGAATTTTAATAAAAGATTTTCTTTCATATTAATTGAGTGGAAATATAAAGAATGTGAGGGTATATATATATGGAATGAACATTTTCGCTGATCGTTCATTGGCTAATGGAGGGTCACATGTCAGGGAGCTATTGTGCAAATGAGGGATGAGGTAGGTAATGTGGTTATGCATTTAATTGGAGACCTCTTTACTCTCTCGGATTGACCTATTCTCGTCTGCCTGCCATGTTTGGGATCCAGGTTATGTAATTCATCCTATATTACATACTTACAACATTTGCGCGAATATGTTTCTCAAATAAAACAAATGTATACTACCCTTACAGCAATGATATTTGTGAGGGCACATCATTGTACCTTTTAACATGCATATAGGGATTCAGACAATGACTCTGAAATATATTATAGTGACCTTTATCGAAGATACACGAGATAATTAAGTGTGAACAAAAATTTTCTCTGTCTCCTTAAAAAACAAAAAACAAAAAAATAGACGACCAGCAACATCAAAGACTTTCCACTTTCTTAAGTTTTGTCCATGAGTATAAACACATTAACAGATTTCTTGAAATCAATTTGCATAAGATTTTATGAGCGCAACCGACATTTCTAAAAATACCAAACGATCGGCTTAATGAATTAAGGACGATATACCACAGGAATAAAGTTAATTTAGGCTTAACCATTATTTGTCAGACGAATTAGGCGAGTAGAGAATTCTGGAGAATCTATCGAAGGTAATTAATTCTTATTTAAATTCATCATGTGGCTTCATTAATCACTTCAACACAAAGTCTCCTGGCAGAATTCTACAGTATGTAAGATACCATATATAAACATATTTTAATGAATTTCTACTATTCAAATTTTACTCTCAATAGCCTCTCTCCTTTATTTTTTATTGATAAGTTTGTAATAGGATTAAAACAAATTGCCATTGTTACGTTTGTATTTATTATATTTGTATATGTAACAATATAGGGTATATATATGCATATATTAAAACCAATTCGATGACATATATACATGGACAAAATTTAGGAAAGTGAAAAGTTTTTAATGTCGCCGGTCGTTTGTTTTTTTGAAGGAGACAGAAGCAATTTTGTTTACACTTGGTTATTTTGTGTGTCTTCAATAAAGGTCACTGTAATATCTTTCATAGTTATTATCTGAATCCCGATATACATGCTGAAAGGTACAACTTTTTAAAGTTTTGTTCATGAGTGTATAAACAACTTTTTCCTACATCATTAAAAAATTATCTCCTTTTATTTAACCATTGTGACTTACAGTCAATAAAGAATTTTATATTGTATATAATTGACTGAACAAATTGTGCAGATATTATAATAAAAAATAGTTTTTTTATTCAAAAATATTGTTTGTTAATTTAATTTGCATAGTGATAAATATATATATCTAAATTGTAATTAGACTTAGAAGAGAGTAATTATTGCTAATTATTTCCTAGTGGATAAATTATCACAACTATTATTGAGAATAGATTCTATAGTTTTTTTATAGCCGGGAATACTAATTAAGACAAGGCAATGTTCGGAATAGATATGCAAATCAAACGGAAACCAGACATATTTGGAAGAAGTAAACTAGCTCTGATGTTTACGCACTCATTACTGGCCCAGAAAATGTCTGTAATGGGCGCCAATGCTGTTGCAAAACTTAGGCTTAATTTGCATATTTAACAAAATTTATGTGTCTTTTGATATGTGCAATTCAGCAGGAGAAAGAAAAATTGGGGTATAATTTGTTAAAGCACGATATTTGCATATAGAGGGTATGCAAATCACAAACAGAACCACCGGACTGAGTGATCAATGAACAGTCTTCATTAGTGTCAGCACTTCCCGTAATTTATAGTTCGGCCTGGCGACACTGGCTGCCCCCTGCTACATAGAGTATTTGTCTCCCTAGCTACATATTGTCTTTGGTTGGTTTCTCCCTAGCTACATATTGTCTTTGGTTGGTTTCTCCCTAGCTACATATTGTCTTTGGTTGGTTTCTCCCTAGCTACATATTGTCTTTGGTTGGTTTCTCCCTAGCTACGTATTGTCTTTGGTTGGTTTCTCCCTGGCTACATATTGTCTTTGGTTGGTTTCTCCCTGGCTATATATTGTCTTTGGTTGGTTTCTCCCTAGCTACATATTGTCTTTGGTTGGTTTCTCCCTAGCTACATATTGTCTTTGGTTGGTTTCTCCCTAGCTACATATTGTCTTTGGTTGGTTTCTCCCTAGCTACTTATTGTCTTAGGTTGGTTTCTCCCTAGCTATATATTGTCTTTGGTTGGTTTCTCCCTAGCTACTTATTGTCTTAGGTTGGTTTCTCCCTAGCTATATATTGTCTTAGGTTGGTTTCTCCCTAGCTACATATTGTCTTAGGTTGGTTTCTCCCTAGCTACATATTGTCTTTGGTTGGATTCTTCTTAGCTACATATTGTCTTTGGTTGGTTTCTCCCTAGCTACTTATTGTCTTAGGTTGGTTTCTCCCTAGCTACATATTGTCTTTGGTTGGATTCTTCTTAGCTACATATTGTCTTTGGTTGGTTTTACTTCTACCCATATATAGCTATTGATTAGTGTTACCATAAATAGCTATTGTTTATGTTTCGTTTCTCTCATCATTATAGTATCTCATATCTCATCAGAACTTCACGCTGTTAATATTCTGTTCTATTTAATTAAAATGATTGTTTAAAAAACGAGAAATTAATTGCTATAGCGTTTATGTCATAACTTAATTCTATATTTTGAAAGTGATAATATTAACGTTATAACCTGTCGCCCAGACGTTCTAGGCACTATTTATAAATTGTATATTTACATATATGATTTTATATAATACTGTCAGTAAGTAATTAATATATTTTGTTTATCCCTAGTACAATATCCCTGGTAGTATCCCTAGTATCCCTGGTACAGGCCATGATAATCATGGCGGGTAGAAGTTGGCGACTGCTTTTACTGTAAGTACACTTCATGTTTACAAATGTGAAAAGCAGTTCGACTTTGCACTTATAAATGTGCTAGAGCCCCGTTTGATTACTTGCACTCGCTGGTGGGGTTGGTCTTTTGCAAGAATCGGGGGGCATTGGAGTATTTTTTTTTTTAAATCAGAAAAAAAAGTTTCCCAATGCGGAATTCGATCCCGGGTCGTAGCGGTCGAAAACCAACGGTTTAAACCATCCTTCCACCGACGACCATTAGTAATGAATTAAATAATAGAATAGAAAAGAACAAGATTCCCAAGGACTTGAGGATCCAAAGACACCAATATAAAATATAAATGTAAAACGAAAATTGAAATTATACCGCGAATGTTTCTTTTATAAAAATCGAAATTTATTTTCAAAGAGAAATAGCGACATTTCTAACTTTGAGGATGAGGTATGGAAAGGTGAAACATGAAGAGTAATGGAGAACGGAAAAATAAAAAGTGTCCAGGGGCGGGAATCGAACCCACACCCTTCTGCTTACCGGGCAGGTGCCTTGTCCACTCGGCTACCCTGGACGTATTTTTCCGTTCGTAACTAATACTTAAAGTAACATTTAAAATACAATATAACGCGGCTGATGATTGTAAAACGAAAATTGAAATTATACCGCGAATGTTTCTTTTATAAAAATCGAAATTTATTTTCAAAGAGAAATAGCGACATTTCTAACTTTGAGGATGAGGTATGGAAAGGTATGAAAAGTTCGCCATTACTCTTCATGTTTCACCTTTCCATACCTCATCCTCAAAGTTAGAAATGTCGCTATTTCTCTTTGAAAATAAATTTCGATTTTTATAAAAGAAACATTCGCGGTATAATTTCAATTTTCGTTTTACAATCATC